TTTTGCCCTCCGTGAATGGAGCCATTTTTGCTGAAATTTCAAGGTTTTAAAATCCTCAATTTAGCACTATTCTTCTTTAAAAAAGTATCCGTAATAACAGTGGTAGCGGCAGTAACTGAACGCGAGTTCACGCGATAGGAGACCAATACGACAGCGCACGATCATTGAATGACCACTTTAAGCGTGGAAAGAGTAACACACGTCCTTGTTCAGGATCACATGCAAAGCGCTGCATTTTTTAATCACGCTGAAATCACCATTTCTGTGATAAAACACTTGCTTTTCTTCTCTGCCTACGTCTGGCGTCAAGACAAAGTTAAAATAACTGGAGACAGAATCGAGTGTTGGTGGATGACACACCTAGGGTCGGCTACGCGCAATCAGATTTCAGGGAGTAAGAGTGTCATAAAGGCTGAAAGTGGCTAGTGCATGATACTGCACCTATGCGTGCGACCAACGCCTATCCCATGTTCAGCATACTTTATGGGAACGCAACCCGCCTAAAGCCGACTATGCTCTGATCGATCTTATGTCTTCGTCCAGTGTATCTACAACACGGCCGGTTCAGGTAGCCCCCTTGCTAATAAGTACAGCGTTGACAGGCCGGGAGTACTAAATGGTCACACCCCAAAAATCACCGTCTACATTAACAGAAATTGCAATTAAAATTTTACGAGAGAAACTGGACTGCTTTGATATTAATGAGGTTTAGATTTGTCCAAAAATCGTGGAGTTATCCACGCAATTTACATCGTCCATGAGAAACCCAAGGATGGTCCATTTTATGGTTTGCAAACCGTCCCAGCAGTAGTTTCTGAGCTGTTTGATGTTAGATCCCCATAATGCAGATTTACCGTCTGTCAGGCAAAGATTTAAAGAGATGATACAACACCCATGAATGAAACGGAGGAAGCATTCGCGTCGTCAGATTGTAGATCGTGCACATCCGAAAAAAGTATAGTCCAGTGAATTGTACAGAGGGCAGTGTATAAAACGGTTTTCAATATACTTTATATAGTAGTCACGCGTCAGCCACAGGCTCAGTGATGTGGTAGAATGAGATAAGTCAATTATATAACAAACGAATCACAAAAGCATAGTTTGCGCTGTATTACTACAAAATAAAAGTGGTAATAAATAATGAGATACTTAAAAACTACGTGTAATGATAATAATCAATGCGTGCTTTGCAACAGAGCGTCTCTTGTTTAAATTTGCTTGAGATAAACCACGAAAGCCCGCTTATTCCAAAATGGAAGTTTTGGGCAGTGGCTACATGTCTCCCTGCAGCGATTTCTCACAGTCTTTCCAATCCGTACGACAAACGGCTTCTGACAATTGTTCCCCTTACTCTAATTTAAATTGCATTCAACAAAGCAGTCCAGCTAACCCATTCAATAGCCCCCAGCTGGCTA